ATCAAGTATTTCACACAAAAAAGGTATTGCATTAACACATGTTTTGCTATACACATGTTTATTCCCTTTGTATGTATTGGAACAAATATAAAACAGAGGCAGAAAAGCAAATATGACATAATGTCACACAAAAACCCCCAAAAATGGGCTGGACAAAAGTATTGGCACCCTTAACTTAATATTTGGTTGCACACCCTTTGGAAAACATAACTGAAATCAGTCGCTTCCTATAACCATCAATAAGCTTCTGACACCTCTCACCCGGAATTTTGGACCACTCTTCCTTTGCAAACAGCTCCAGGTCTCTCTTATTGGAAGGACACCTTTTCCCAACAGCAATTTTAAGATCTCTCCACAGGTGTTCAATGGGATTTAGATCTGGGCTCATTGCTGGCCACTTCAGAACTCTCCAGCGCTTCTTTGCCATCCATTTCTGAGTGCTTTTTGACGTATGTTTGGGGTCATTGTCCTGCTGGAAGACCCAGGATCTTGGACGCAAACCCAGCTTTCTGACACTGGGCCCTACAGTGCGACCCAAAATCCTTTGGTAATCCTCAGATTTCATGATGCCTTGCACACAGTCAAGGCACCCAGTGCCAGAGGCAGCAAAACAACCCCAAAACATCATTGAACCTCCACCATATTTTACCGTAGGTACTGTGTTTTGTTCTTTGTAGGCCTCATTCCGTTTTCGGTAAACAGTAGAATGATGTGCTTTACCGAAAAGCTCTATCTTGGTCTCATCTGTCCACAAGACGTTTTCCCAGAAGGCTTTTGGCTTACTCAAGTACATTTTGGCAAACTGTAGTCTTGCTTTTTTATGTCTCTGTGTCAGCAGTGGGGTCCTCCTGGGTCTCCTGCCATAGCGTTTCATTTCATTTAAATGTCGACGGATAGTTCGCGCTGACACTGATGCTCCCTGAGCCTGCAGGACAGCTTGAATGTCTTTGGAACATGTTTGGGGCTGCTTATCCACCATCCGGACTATTCTGCGTTGCAATCTTTCATCAATTTTCCTCATCCGTCCACGACCAGGGAGATTAGCTACAGTGCCATGGGTTGCAAACTTCTTGATAATGTTGCGCACTGTGGACAAAGGCAAATCTAGTTCTCTGGAGATGGACTTGTAACCTTGAGATTGTTGATATTTTGCCACAATTTTGGTTCTCAGGTCCTCAGACAGTTCTCGTCTCCTCTTTCTGTTGTCCATGCTTAGTGTGGCACAGACAGACACACAATGCAAAGGTTAAGTGAACGTCTCTCCTTTTTATCTGCTTTCAGGTGTGATTTCTATATTGCCCACACCTGTTACTTGCCCCAGGTGAGTTTACAGGAGCATCACATGCTTGTAACATTCTTATTTATCCGCAGTTGTGAAAGGGTGCCAATACTTTTGTCCAGCCCATTTTTGGAGGTTTGTGTGACATTATGTCGAATTTGCTTTCTTTCCTCCCTTTTTTTGTTTTGTCCCAATACACACAAAGGGAATAAACATGTGTATAGCAAAACATGTGTTAATGCAATACGTTTCGTGAGAAATACATGATTTCCTGGAGAAATATCAAGGGTGCCAACAATTTCGGCCATGACTGTACATACTAGAACCAACTTAGACAGGCACCAATTTACCTACCAACATGTTGTTAGAGTGCGGGAGAAGACCCACCAAAGCACAGGAAGGGAGAATATGCAAACTCAATGTACAGTGTTGTAGCTGGTGTTCAAACTGGAGGATCCTAATGCTGCAAGGCAGAAGTGCTAACCAAAATATTACTGTGCTGCCTTTGTAGCAAAAACAGCCCATAGATGATAATTTTTTTTGTTCAACCAGTTGGTTGAATGAAAAAAAACAGACTCGATTCCCTCATCCACACATTTGAGTTGAATAAATAGAGAAGTCTGCTGCCACTTTGTATTCTGACGGTGGAAAGACTTTCCAATCGTCAGAATACACTGATTGAGCACCAAATGTCCGACATGGCTGGTGTACAGAAGTGATTGGTAGATTGTCTTCTGTACAAGCTCTCTGTCAAAATATAGATCAAAATTCAGCTGGTTCCTACTAAACCAGCTGAATTTCAATGCATGTATGACCAATCTAAAATGTATTGAAATATATTGAATATGGACAAAATTATAGCATTTAAATATATTTGGGAAGAATATTTTTAAAATATATTTCAAATATATTTTTCTTCCATATGGGCATCTTCTACGATTCCTCCTTAGTTGTGTTTAAGGACCGCCCTTACCCTGCCCACATAGGCCTATGCACCAATATAAATGGGAATTGTCATCTTAGCCAATCAGGTTTGACAAAGGAGCTGATTGGTGCTCCAAAACGCATCACCTAGGCGTTCCGTCCGGTACCGCATTCCTTTCCCACCATAGCAGCCAGTGCTTTCTGTGGAGTGCAGATGTCTGGCTTGTCTCTCAGCTCCATCTTGTCCTGGATGCTGCTACAAACATACCATCTGACGAGTGGCTGTGGTCCTCACACTTCTAATGTTTTTTTTACTTCTTCACACATGTGAGTGCTATATTTTGGTTCATGAAATTATTTTTAATACTGCACTTAGAGGCGCCCCCTAGTGTTCCTATTAATTTACTGACCCCGCTGCTTTTTTTTAATTAAAAAATTAGGCTCTTATAGCTCACTCACACCAGCATGTACAATAAAATGCCAGCGTGCTGGTGTACATAGTGTAGGGAAAGTGAGGAGCGATGTTATGTGCTGTTACAAATGCATCCCTTTGTACTTTTTAAAAAATTTTTTAAGTGTCATTAACCATTTTGCCGCCCGCCCTATGGCCGAATGGCGGCCGGCAAATGTCATCAGCGTTCCGAGTGGATGCCATATGGCATCCTCCTGCACATGCGCAGATTGCGCTCCTGCAGAGCGGCGCAGCGGCGCCATCTGTCACCGGCTGTGTACCTCGGACACGGCCGATGACAGATCTGAGTATCGGCCCCCGTTGCCGGTACCATGTGACCTGCTGTGACCAATCACAGCAGGTCACATGACAGTTGTATACAATGGATGGCTTCATTCATGCCATCCATTGTATACTAGTGTCTAGCTGTGAATGGTCACAGCTAATCACATGCACATGTCATGTGATTAGCTGTGGCCAAATCACAGCTAAGAACAAAAAAAAAAAAAAACCCTGAATGAATCGATGTCATTCAGGTAAATGCTTGCTTATAGCAAAGTAATTTTTTGCTATAAGCAAATTGTGTAAAAATAAAAAAAATACTGATCATTTCCCCAAAGTAGTACAATGTTACTATGGTAACATTGTACTACTTTGGTCATAGTAAAATATGGAAAACAAATCTTAAAAGAAAGAAAAATTTTTTTTTATAAAAAATAATAAAAAAAATAAAAAAAAAAAATATATATATTTTTTTTCATACTGTCACCAGTCAGTGTCCCTGATCACCTCCATGCCAGTTATATGATGACGCTGTACTGCACTGGTGACAGTATGTAAAAAAAAAATAGTGAAACTAATTTTTTAAATTTTTTCATTTTCGTTAAAATTATGACAAAAAAAATGCAACTTCAAAAAACTCGCCATTCCTCTTATGAAGTACGTCAGACTGTCTACTCTGCAAAAAGGGGTCATTTGGGGGATATCTGTACTGTTCTGACATTCTTGGACCTCAAGAAATTAGATTGGCTGTCAGTACTTCAGGATTGATCAATATTCAGATCTATACCATAGTTTGTGAACTCTATAACTTTCCTACAAACTAAAAAATACATCCCAATTTGGGTTATTTTCACCAAAGACATGTAGCAGAATACATCTTGGCCTAAATTTATGAAGAACAATTATTTATTTGCAAACTTTTATAACAGAAACAAAGAAAAATGTGTGTTTTTTTCAACATTTTTGGTCTTTTTTTGTTAATTTAGCAAAAAAATAAAAACCCCAGTGGTGATTAAATACCACCAAACGAAAGCTCTAGTTGTGTGAAGAAAATGATAAAATTTTAGTTTGGGTACAATGTTGTATGACCACGCAATTGTCATTCAAAGTGTGAGAGCGCTGAAACCTGAAAACTGGCCTGGGCAGGAAGGTGTAAATTTGCCCGGGATTGAATTGGTTAAATTACACTTTGCTCAAATGGTCATCATTGCAGCATGCTGCTTTATGCTGCGACATGGATTGGCTGTGTAAAAATGCAGACATGCTACAATTTTTATGCAGTGCACCACACACACCCCACATCACAGCACTATGGAGTGAACAGGGCACAGAAAACAGTTGTTTTCAGTTGTGTTGAGCATACATTGATCTATGCAGATCGATGGACATTGGGCTGAATGAGCCCTTGCGGCTAGAGATATGCACAACAACAAATTGTTTTATTTTGAAATCATTTGTTATGTTAATAATATTGATTTGTCATATTCATTATATTAGGATGATTAGTTTTCAGAATGAGTTTCATATATTCAAATTAGTGTCATATATTCGGATAAGTTTCATATATTCAAATTTGGTTAGTCCAACCCACAAAGAGAAATGGAATGAGCTGGTTGGACGATATCCAAAACAATGTAAGGAACCAAATTAATTTTGGATTCATTTGTTATGTTCATTCGTTACAAAGAGAAATGGAATAAGCTGATTGGACAATATCCAAGAGAACAAATGGAATTAAATTAACTTCAGATTCATTCAGACTTGGATATTCTGATGTATCCACCTCCATCCAACCCAAACTCAATAGGTAGGAAATTGGAATCAGCATCTTATTTCACTTTTTATACCTTACTGTATTTATTGCAATATGTTTCCATTTAGTATGTAGTGCATTTTTTTTATAATAATGTAAAATGTTAAGGCAAAATAAACATAAAATGGATCCGAAAGAATGAATGAAACAAAATTAACGTATTTTTCGCTCCATAAGACGCACTTTTTTCCCCCCAAAAAAGGGGGGAAAATGTCAGTGCGTCTTATGGAGCAAATATGGAGCAGCCGGTCCAGTATTTCCACCGCCGCAGTATCAGAAAACCGGGCCGCTCAGCTCTTCTCTGCAGTAGAACCTTACCTGTTCCTCAGTCCAGCGCTGTGCATTCTTCCCGCGCCTGCTTGTTTAGTGTGGGCTCTGGGCTGTGACAGCCGGGTACCCACTGCACATGCGCGAGAAGTGCTGCGCTTTGTGAATGGTATGGCGTCTTCTGGGACACATGACAGGTCTCAGAAGACGCCGGACCTATCACAAAGCGCAGCACTTCTCGTGCTATCAGCCGGGTGCCGACACTAAAGGGAGGATAACTCAAATTCAGCTACCCGCTCCCCCTCCCTCCCCAAAGGTCAGCCATCTCTTAGTCATCCCCTGTACTGTCTGCAGTCTGTGGTCATCCCCTGCACTATGTCCGCAGTCTCTGGTCATCCCCTGCACTATGTCCGCAGTCTCTGGTCATCCCCTGCACTGTCCGCAGCCTCTGGTCATCCCCTGCACTGTCCGCAGTCTCTGGTCATCTCCTGTTCTATGTCCGCAGTCTCTGGTCATCTCCTGTTCTATGTCCGCAGTCTCTGGTCATCCCCTGCACTGTCCGCAGTCTCTGGTCATCTCCTGTACTGTGTCCCCAGTCTCTGGTCATTTCCTGTACTGTCCGCAGTCTCTGGTCATCCCCTGTACTGTGTCCGCAGTCTCTGGTCATCCCCTGTACTGTCCGCAGTCTCTGGTCATCTCCTGTACTGTGTCCGCAGTCTCTGGTCATCTCCTGTACTGTGTCCGCAGTCTCTGGTCATCTCCTGTATGTCCCCAGTCTCTGGTCATTTCCTGTACTGTCCGCAGTCTCTGGTCATCCCCTGTACTGTGTCCGCAGTCTCTGGTTATCCCCTGTACTGTCCTGCAGTCTCTGGTCATCTCCTGTACTGTGTCCGCAGTCTCTGGTCATCCCCTGTACTGTCCGCAGTCTCTGGTCATCTCCTGTACTGTGTCCGCAGTCTCTGGTCATCCCCTGTACTGTACGCAGTCTCTGGTCATCTCCTGTACTGTGTCCGCAGTCTCTGGTCATCTGTACTGTGTCTGCAGTCTCTGGTCATCTCCTGTACTGTGTCCGCAGTCTCTGGTCATCCCCTGTACTGTACGCAGTCTCTGGTCATCTCCTGTACTGTGTCCGCAGTCTCTGGTTATCCCCTGTACTGTCCGCAGTGTCTGGTCATCCCCTGTACTGTCCGCAGTCTCTGGTCATCCCCTATACTGTCCGCAGTCTCTGGTCATCCCCTGTACTGTCCGCAGTCTCTGGTCATCCTCTGTACTGTCTGCAGTCTCTGGTCATCTCCTGTAGTAAGTCCGCAGTCTCTGGTCATCTCCTGTACTGTGTCCGCAGTCTCTGGTTATCCCCTGTACTGTCCGCAGTCTCTGGTTCATCCCCTGTACTGTCCTCAGCCTCTGGTCATCCCCTATACTGTCCGCAGTCTCTGGTCATCCCCTATACTGTCCGCAGTCTCTGGTCATCCCCTGTACTGTACGCAGTCTCTGGTCATCTCCTGTACTGTGTCCGCAGTCTCTGGTTATCCCCTGTACTGTCCGCAGTCTCTTGGTCATCCCCTGTACTATCTGCAGTCTCTGGTCATCCCCTGTACTGTCTGCAGTCTCTGGTCATCCTCTGTACTGTCTGCAGTCTCTGGTCATCTCCTGTAGTAAGTCCGCAGTCTCTGGTCATCTCCTGTACTGTGTCCGCAGTCTCTGGTTATCCCCTGTACTGTCCGCAGTCCGCAGTCCTCTGGTCATCCCCTGTACTGTCCGCAGTCTCTGGTTATCCCCTGCACTGTCCTCAGCCTCTGGTCATCCCCTATACTGTCCGCAGTCTCTGGTCATCTCCTGTACTATGTCTGCAGTCTCTGGTCATTTCCTGTACTATGTCTGCAGTCTATTTTTTTTTCTTGTTTTTCGCCTCTAAAATCTAGGTGTGTCTTATGGTGAGGTGCGTCTTATGGAGCAGAAAATACGGTAATTCATTTGTTATGTCATTATGTTATTTTGGATACTTCAAACCTTTTACAAAAGGTCCAAACTATTGCATCATGTCATCCGAATGAAACACTTAATTTTGTTGCTTCATTATAATTTATTTCAAACTAATTGAAATTCATTATTATTGTGATTTGGAGATTCGTAAACATTTGAATCTCCAAATAACAACCATTTTCTTTGAATTATAACTAAACATATCACACGTCTACTTACTGCAATACGATCCTTTGTTTCCAGCACTGTCCCATGTAGAAACTTTTCTCCACCACCAATCCCTCATCAGGATAAATGATGGTCAGCATCGTTCTACTCACCTTTTGTGAGCCCAGGCTGTCATGAACATTCCCTGGCGTGCATAACTATGGTGACCTGGGCTCACAGTGAAGGTGCAGAGAATGGCAATAGCATCTCTAGTATTTTACAGGAGTTCTGCTTTAACTGGCTGTATTTTGTGATTTCTGTAGATCTTTATTAACCACTTCCATACCGGGCACTTTTACCCCCTTTCTGCCCAGGCCAATTTTCAGGTTTCAGTGCTCTCACTTTGAATGACAATTGCGCGGTCATGCAACATAGTACCCAAACTAAAATTTTATGATTTTGTTCACACAACTAGAACTTTCTTTTGGTATTTAATCACCACTGGGGTTTTTTTTTTTGCTAAATTAAACAAAAAAGACCGATAATTTGGAAAAATAAAATTTATGTTTAATAGTTTGCAAATAAAATAATTGTTCTTCATAAAATTAGGCCAAAATGTATTCTACTACATGTCTTTTGGTGAAACTAACCCAAATTAGTATTTATTTAGTCTGTAGGAAAGTTATACAGTTCGCAAACTATGGTACAAATCTCCTACCTCACACTAGCCTAACTCAAACGCATTGACTCCTGCTGTTTCCTCCTGGGTATAATGCATCTCTCCTACCTCCACTCTTAACTCAAAATCGCATTCACTCCCTGTTATATTCAGAACAAATGGTGTATTTATTATATTTGTGTGTATGTTGACCAGTCCTCACCTCCAGTTGCACCCAGTTTACGACTGTAGCCTGGTTCCTAAGAAAACATCCCCCACTATTCATGTGAGCCATTAAAGACAATCAGCTTCTAATTGGGGTGGAGTTGAATGCTCATTTCAGCATCTCCCTATAAATTTAGATCAGCTCATGGGGGGAGATCTCTGATGGGGGGGCACAGTCTCTGATGGGGGTGCACTGCTTCAGATTGAGTGTGGCTTCGAAAGAGTGCGAAGCAGTTAAACACAGCAGTTGAACTAAAGCAGGAGAACTTAAGCAGCAGGAAGACACAACAAACAAGAAACTCTACTGCACGCTGGACAGACTGCAAGCAAACACCCTGGGAAACATCTCTTACATACCTGAGTCCCACTCGGTGTACCTTTATATAATACGCCCCTCTTCTCCTCTTCATATTACTATCCTCTGTTCCCAAATCTCATTTCTTTACCCCTCTGCTCCACCCCAAAACTTGTACATCTCCCCCCTCATTGCTATCATCTCCATACTACTGCTCTCAATCACCCCCCCAAAATGCCTCTTCTACTCCTCCTTCTCATTTTCCTCTCCTCCATTCCCTAAATCCATTCACTATATCCCTCTGCTCCTCCTAAACATTTGTATATTTTGTCCTCACTGCTTCCTTCGCCCCTCTATGGCACCCACCACCTCCTCCTATTATTCCACTCTCCCTCTGACCCGAACACCTCCACTAGGAGTTTCTCACGCTCCTGCACATCCCGCTCCCATGCCACCTTTCTCACCCTTCTCCTCCTCCTAGCCGCGGGGGACATCTCCCCGAATCCTGGCCCTCCACCACCTCCCTCACCCGCACAACACCCTCCCGCCTCCACGTCCTACCGCAACCCCCCGCAACCTAGTATCTGTCCCCCCTGCTCCCTAAAATCTCCCCCCCCATTTTCATGTGCACTCCTGAACGCCCGATCGGTGTGTGCAACAAGCTTACCGCCATCCACGACCTCTTTGTTTCCCGCTCCCTCAACCTCCTAGCGATCACGGAAACCTGGATCCAGCCCACTGACTCTACCTCCCCTGCTGCACTCTCCTACGGAGGTCTCACCTGGACCCACTCACCCAGACCTAACGGTTGTAAAGGTGGTGGGGTTGGTCTGCTCCTGTCACCGCAGAGCACCTTCCGAGTCCTCCCAAACCCCCCCTCCCTATCCTTCTCCTCCTTCGAGACCCACTGCGTCCGACTATTCTCCCCAACCCCCCTGAAGATTGCTGTGATATATCGGCCTCCTGGATCCATACCCCGCTTCCTGGATGACTTTTCCTCCTGGCTACCCTTCTTCCTCTCCTCTGAGCTACCCACCATCATTCTTGGGGATTTCAACATCCCTGTCAACCTTGACAACCCAGACACAGCCCGTCTCCTCCACTTAACCTCCTCCTTTGCACTTGCACAGTGCATACAATCCACCACCCACTCCAACGGTAATATTCTAGATCTTGTCTTCTCCAACCACTGCGCTCCCCACAACCTCACTAACACCCCCTTTCCTCTCTCTGACCACAACCTGATTACCTTCTCTATCTCCTCGTCCTCCAACGCCTACCCCTCCAAATGTCACACTACTACCAGCCGTAACCTCCGCAATCTTAACCCTGCCCCCCTCCACTCTGCAGCTGATCAACTCCATGACAGCATCCTCCCCCTGTCCTGCCCCGACTTGGCTATGACTGCCTACAACAACGCGCTGTCAGCAGCCCTTGACTCACTAGCGCCTTTAACGACACGCAACATCAGACCCCGACCGCTCCAGCCCTGGCAGACTGATCACACCAAAACTCTCAAACGACACAGTCGTGCCCTGGAGCGACTATGGCGCAAAACAAAATCCCAACAAGCCTTCACCCGCTACAAATCTGCCTTCCGCACCTACACCTCCTCCCTCCACGCAGCCAAACAAGCCTACTTCCTGACCCTCATCAAGACCCTCTCCTCCAACCCTCGCTGACTCTTCTCCACCTTCAACTCTCTACTCTCTCCACCCCCACCTCCACCCAGCACCTCACTCACCGCCCTTGAGATTGCCAATCACTTCAAAAACAAGATTGACACAATTCGCAAGGACATTGCCGCAACTCACACGCCCTCTCAACCCGTCCCCTCTCACACAGCTACCCCCTCATCCCCCCTCCCCCTCGACATTACCCGCAGGGACTTCGTCACTGCTCAAACTCCCTCCAACCCCGTTCCCCCTTCCTCAGCTACCCCCTCATCACCCCTCTCCCACGGCCCCACCACTGCTCTGACCTCCACTTCCACCCCACCCCACATTCCTCATACTGAAGCTCCCCCAACACTCCATACCTTTGAACTTACTACCATCGAGGAAGTCTCCAAGATCCTCTCTGATGCCCGCCTCACCACCTGCCCCCTCGACCCTATCCCCCTCACAATTCCTACGACCTCCCTCCCCCTCCATCCTACGCTCCCTCACCCACATCTTTATCTCTCCCTCCTCCTCCGGCACTTTCCCCTCCCCACTGAAGCATGCACACATCACCCCCATACTTAAAAAGCCCTCCCTGGACCCCAATGACCGAACAACCTCAGACCCATCTCCCTGCTCCCACTTACATCTAAACTCCTCGAGCGCCTCGTCTACACCCGCCTATGCTCTCACCTCAACGACAACAACCTCCTCGATCCCCCTACAGTCTGGCTTTTGTCCCCTACACTCCACTGAAACTGCCTTACTCAAACTCTCCAACGACCTTCTAATCGCCAAAGCTAATGGCCACTATTCAGTGCTCCTACTCCTTGACCTCTCTGCGGCCTTCG